ATAAATATAGCAGAGGCTTGATGCGTCGAGCGACGCACCCTGTACGAGCATCGAATTTCAGAGCAATAACTGCTGGTTTCGAAGCGCCTCGTAAAGAAGGCTCGGTTATTTGTTCCTAGTTAGAAGCAGAAACGTTTGAATAATTTTCGCGCGGCTTCTTCTCGTCGTCTGAATTTGCGCGCGCCTCGCGAATTAAAGAGTTCAGGAACGGAGGGATGAAAGGTCCCGGTCGTGGGGTGAACGACTTTACACCGCGACCGGAGTCTCCTTTCGCACGGCCTCCCAACTAAAAACTCATTTTCACGCGCATCCGGTCTACCTTCAATCCGCCGAGACACGCGGGACTGTCAGAGACCGAAAAACTTTCCCCGATACGCGTCGTTATTGCTTTTCTCGCGTGGAGTTCTCTCACCCCCTGACATGTTCACTACCGCGACCGCACGGTCGATAAAATTGCTGCGACCGGAACATTCCCCCGTGCTTCCACATTGTAACCGCCGAAAAATTAGGTAGGAATTAGGAATCGTTCGAAGCGAAGCTCGCACGCGATAGCAATAACATTACAGAGCCGGGAAAGTTTTTAAGGGAAGGGAAATGCTCGTTAAGCCCTTGGACCGACTGCGTGGACCTCGGCTAATGTCGGAAAGTGGATTAAAAAAGTTTGTTCTGCTGGGAAACACTAGACTGAACACGATCGGGCTCTGTTTTTACGGAGAATCTCACGCGATATGCCGGGCAAGAAAATATTTCAAGGAATTTCAAGCGTATATTCTTCTTGCAACTACTTCATTAACGTTCGTAATTGATACTACAATTAATTACACTTTTACCGTGGAAATAACACGTATACATTGATTATTATTATATCTATTAATATTAAATGTTATATTTTTTATAACTACAATTATAATCATTTCTTTAAAATTCTAAAATTAAATCTTAAATGAAGTTTAATTTAGAGGTAAAATTGAGAAGAGAATCCAATTTAATGAATATATTTTTGTGGCAGTGTTAAAAATAGAAAATGTATTATTTATCACTGTTCTAATTAATCTTTTTTTGATTAAGTTCCTGTTAATTCTTTTTACAATTCTGCTTTTTTTGGATTTAGGTTTATATAATTTGTGTGAGAGCACA